CTATCTATCTATCTATCTATCTATCTATCTATCTATCTATCTATCTATCTATCTATCTATCTATCTATCTATCTATCTATCTATCTATCTGTTTCTCTTATCTATCTATCTGTAGATATAGGCGTAGACAGACATAGATATGTAGAGATTGGGATATATAAATACACCCACACACACACTGTCAGGCCTGCAGTTATATTCCTTTTGGGATTTTTGGCCTGCCACACTCTCTATTATTTTCCCACGCTGTTTCATTAGTATAGTAATTGGGAGGGGAATAGAAAGGACTAGAATTGTGGAATGTGTTGTTGTCATTCCTTTCTAGAAGCCAAGGTCATATTTTGTCTCCGGACCTCTGCACCTGACCGGAACCAGCTGGGGGGGGAGATGCCAGCGTGGTCAAAGAAGATTGGACCATGTGATGGATTTATGGGTGTGTGGATAAGATCATGAACTTTCAGCTAGGTGGAATCCTAGGAAATTTTCAGATTTGGGATTCCACAGTTCGTTGCCAACATGTCTGTCTTATTAAATTGAAACTTTAAGGATAGCTCTGCCTTGGACTCTGATTTAATTCTGCATGATATTTGGAATGCTGACATTCACATACATACAAATAGAGATGGGATTTTATAATGCAAATAGCACATGTTTAAATATAAGAAAACAGAAAGGAAAAGTGAAGGAGGGAACTAACTAATAATGCAAATAATAATTCAAAAATTGTGATTTCCCTTTTCTTTCCATTGCTAGTTACTTAAATCTCAATTATTCAAATTAATAATTTATCCTTAATGAGCTTCTTTTTGTATGCTGAAAACTGCAAAACACAGTGCAGCAATGATATTTGAGATGTTGGAGTTCCAATCTGTGCACAGCAGAATGACATTACAGACAGTGGAAGGACACTTGGAATCCCACAATGGGCAAATAGTCGTAAGCGTGAAAAACGGTCATAAGTAACTTTTTAAAAGTGCTGTTGTAACTTTGAATGGTTACTAAACAAACTGTAGTAAGTGGAGGATCACCTGTATTTTTATTTACTTTTTACTTTTGTATTTTATATTTGGATAAACCAATAAAATACTTAAAAAAAGACTTAGCAGACTGCCTTTTATCACAATCATTGTGACAAAAGGGACCTTAGAGAAGCACATGATCAATTGTGTCTCCTGCTTCTTATGCCAAGAACATCAGTGTTAGGTACAGTAGTTGCTTTTCTGTAAGCTTTGGGCATCAATTCCCAATAGTCCCAGCCTGCATGGACAATAGAAAGGAATTCTGGGACCCTTAGACCAAAATGCCAGCCAATCTTTCTTTGATACCAGCTCCGGGCTGCCAAAATCTAGTGTCCATAGGTGACTGTTTAAATTGTTGATATTTTCAGTATCTCTTTATCATCCTTTGGATTTCTGCAAGGCAAGAAATTATCACCACCGAGCTTCTTTTGATACTGCTCTGTAACTCCCAAAATAGGATACCTATCTCAAAAGATCTCACCCAAGCTTGGATTCACCATGAATATCTTTCTGATGCTTCAGATTCAAAGACCAGTTTAATTCCACACATGTGGGATTTCACACTGAGAGCCAGGTTGGTCTAGTGGTTAAGGCACCAGGATCAAAACCAGGAGAATACAATACAACACAATAGCAGAGTTGGAAGGGACCTTGGAGGTCTTCTAATCCAACCCCCTGCCTAGGCAGGAAATCCTATACCGTTTCAGACAAATGGCTATCCAACATCGTCTTAAAGACTTCCAGTGTTGG